GAGAGAGAGAGAGTGTGTGTGTGTGTGTGTGTGTGTCCACTTTGTGTATGAACATTATGCATATATGTATTACGTAACAAAGTAAATAATAATAATTGCATTTATATAAAAGTATAGTACATAAGAGCATGATTTTATACAAATATATTATGAGTTTTTACGCATCCTTGAGACAACGTAGGTCATTTAGGAGGCGGGTTTCCAACCCTATCTGTCAGGGCCAATACGATCTGAGAGGAATACAATATCTTTGCATAAAGATCGAGTTAGCCAATTAAAAAGTCCTTGTCCTCATTTTCGTAGCATGACGCACTAGTTCGCTTTAAGTCTACTACTAAATTTGCAACAAGCTCTCCATATTGCAAGCTACAGCAGCCTAATAAGTCAACAGAAGTCTGTAGAATTATCCCAAATTTCGTTTGCCTTCTGAGATCATGGTTCCGTTTTGTAGGAAACAGTGAGCTTTTTGTATTGAACATTACCTCTTCACAAACTCTCCATGCCAGACATTTCGTAAGTTCTGTGCAGGGTATGGAAAGAATGCTTAGATGCCCTCAAGACCTTTGGTGTCATGAGTAAAGAAGTTCCATCAGTTTGGATCTATAGCGAATCAGAACTGATAATTTCCTTTAAAATGACCACTTCAGGTAAAACAAGTACTATGCGCAGCTCTTTAACGTCAGGGTGCAGATTTCAGTAGCCGAGTCCCATGAGACGTCTGTTCGTAGACAATCTGCAGCTAGGACTTTTCTACACCTCAACAGTCTGCATTCTCATTGCAGATATGAACCTACTACTGTACTTTTTTCAATTTCACTAGGCCGAGATGACATGGATCAGAGCATGGCAATGTGTTCATGATTCCTTGATTGTCTTGAAAAGCGACATCATTTCCTCGATTGCATTTGATTTAGTGGAAAGCCCATTTTCACCCTTCAGGATGTTAAGACAACTCTAAAATGCTATCTGTGGGGCACCCCACTCCCTATTCCCTCTAGAAGCCACTTCACACAGATTATGTACAGTGTAGTTTTACGCCCTCATATGGCTTAGCAGGTCCTTGTGTTAGGGCGACATTGAACATTTTGAAAGACACGTTAAAAATGTGGCAACTCCAAAGTAGGGCATTTGGAGTACTGCTTCTAGGAATTCAAGAATTAGATCGTTAGCTTTTTAAACTCTGTCAAAGAATTTATATATTGTTAATATGTTACAGGATGGAATATTAAATATCAAAGAGAAAGAAAAAAAGAAAAATGTCAAACAATCTTTCCACGACTTCCTTTACAAGATTTTTACAACTTGGTGAACTTTGCGTTTTAGGGTGCTTTTTTATTTAAGCTATTTCCGTTTGCAAATTAAGATTCTTCTTTGTGGATTTTGTGTCAAACAAATTCCTTTAGAATGAATTATGTCTGTTTCAAATTGCATCATCCTAGAACATTTTTTTTTTTTTGCGAGACATTCAGAAAAAAAGTCGTACAGTTAGTTGTTGTTGTTGTTTTTTTTATCACCCTGATTTTAAATACGTTCATGAAGAAAGTTTTTTTTTTTTTTAATCTAGCCTTATTTGTTGTAGAAAAATATGATTAAGTTAAAACAAATTGATACAAACTGTTCCGCAAAGCATGGGTGAAACTGATTCATCCGTTGAAGAGATACTAATTGAGAATTAGTTGCGCCACCAATTTTCGGCTGCACTAAAATAGTTTGGGTTTTTTCTCTCTCCCGAAAACCAGTGGTTTTGGGGGGACTTGGGTCTCCAGGAATAACATAAAAATCTTTAGCCTCTCTGTCAGCCGAAGCCGGTCTCACACTTACCTGGCGTCAGTGGCCAAGTGGTTAGGCTCTTGAACTCTCAACCGAAAGGTGTTGGGTTCGAATCTCATCAGGGTCCCAACTTTGTGTTCCTGGGAAAGGCGCTTTGCAGTAATTTTCCTCACTTCACTCAGGTGGAGACGTGTGCCCGGCTATAGACAGTGAAGGATCTTGTCAGTTTGATTGTGCCTGAACACGTGAAATCTGCAGGTTGTATTGTATGCTTCCCCAGAAGCCAAGAATTTCTGAATGTTCTCTGAGGGTCAGCTGGGGTAATAATAGTTGTAAAGCACGTAGAGCGTGCTGTAGAGCATGGATATGCGCTACATAAATGAAATAGTTATTGTTGTTATGATTACGCTTTGTGCCGTAACCCCAACCCCTTTTCCTCTTTCCTTCCCATCCTCCCAACAGCCAAATTCACCATCAGCAAAGAGGAAACACAGGTCAGCGTGGTGACTTTCTCCAACAAAATCAAGAGAGCCTTCTGCTTCAACGCCTACTACAATATCGAGGCAATGAAAGCTGTAAGTAGCCACAGGACAGAGAGAACAAAGGGCAGGCACACTCTGTTATCAACCTTCAGTGACCAACTTTCTGTGATCAACTTTTTGCGATCAACTTTTAGAGATCAACCATCTGTAACTTTCTGTGATCAATTTTCTGTGATAAGAGAAGTGATTAACTTTCTGTAACTTTCGGAGATCAACTTTCTGTAATCAACTTTCTGTAATCAACTTTCTCTAACTTACTGTAACTTTCTATGATCAACTCTCTCTAACTTTTTCTAACTTACCGTGATCAACTCTCAGTAACTTCCTGTGATCAACTCTCTATCACATTTTAAAAGTTAGATCTAGGGGCCAGTGAACTGTGGCGTTAAGATTAAAGTTTCGGGCTGAGTTATGACTGTGATGTATCACTGTGTGTTTGAGTTATTGTGTGTGATGTGTCTTTGTGTGTGTGTGTGTGTGTGTGTGTGTGTGTGTGTGTGTGTGTGTGTGTGTGTGTGTATGTCTGTGTGTATGTCTGTGTGTGTGTCTATGTGTGATTCTCGCTCTCTCTCTCTCTCTCTCTCTCTCTCTCTCTCTCTCTCTCTCTCTCTCTTTCACTCTGTCTCATCTTCTCTCCTCACCTCCCCCTCTCTCTCTCCTCCCCAGGCCATTGACAAAATCCCTTACACGAAAGGAGGTACCCAGACGGGCAAAGCCCTCAAGTATGCCAAGGACCAGTCCTTCAAGAAGAAATGTGGCTTCCGGCCTGACTCAGCCAAAGTGGTCATCGTGCTGACAGATGGAAAGTCCACTAATCGTGAGTGAACCAGTTTCTCAGACACGCTACCTCGCTTTTTATTTTGCTCATTTCTTCTTTGTGTAAATCTTTCGAATTGCTTAACAAAGATACGATGTTGGTTTCAACTGTAGCATTGGCTTCACCCAATTATCTTCTCCACCGTACTCAACGTCACTTTTGTTCAGCCCTTCGACCTCCCCCATTGTGGGTGGTTGGCTGTTGCTCTGGTGTGGTTTGCTCCTTCTTTCCTATCAAACATCTGTTGTCCTGATCTCGCCTTCTCATCTGTCCTCCACAGCCGAGCAAACCAAGACGCACGCCAAAAACCTGAAGAAGACCGGGGTCAAGATCATCAGTATCGGTGTTGGTCAAGGTGTGACCATGGAAGAGCTCAAGGTGATCGCCTCCAACAACAACCTGGTGTTCAAGCCACGTGACTTTAACGAACTGGACCAGAAGCTGGACAAGATCACCTCGACGACCTGCATCACCGCCCAGTCAAGTAATGTCTGTCTGTCTGTCTGTCTGTCTGTCTGTCTGTCTGTCTGTCTGTCTGTCTGTCTGTCTGTCTGTCTGTCTGTTTGTCTGTCTGTCTGTCTGTCTGTCTTCTCTTTCTCTCTTCCTCTCTCGGTCTCTCTCTCTCTCTCTCTCTCTCTCTCTCTCTCTCTATATATATATATATATATATATATATATATATATATATATATATCTCCTTGGCTTTGATAATATTAATTGTTACCGGGTTTTTATACAATAGGACAATCCCTTCCACTCTAACCCCTCCTCTCCCCCGCATCTCTCCCCCAGTATCTCTCTCTTCCTCCCTCCACATCTCTCTCATTACCTTCTCCAGCGACTCTCACCACAGACATTGTCATTGTTTTACCCCCCACCGACACAATTTAGATCAGAGGGCGGTTGGGGGGGGGGCTGATTCCCTTCAGCCTGTCGAGCTGTTTGGAATTATGTTTCAGCAAGAAGACCGAGACATCCGATCTAATGAAGGGATCGAACTCGCACCTTCTGCTTTCAATGTGAAGAGCCTGACGGTCACATCACAGAAGGTAGTCCGCCCTACGGTACGCTCCTCTAAAAGAAAATGTGGAAAGTTAGAAATTCTTTGTTTTAAGGAAAAACATTTCGTTTGAAATTATCCTATCCAGACCGAGAGGTCGGATTTATTTTATCAACGCCATTTTCACGATTCTTAGTGAGTGGGATATGCGTCAACAGAATAAATTGGACCTCTCGTTTTTGATAGGAAAACTTCACGCTCAGCGTTTCTCCTCAAACAAAGAATTTCTTACACTGTGTGTACATAGCGTCATGTCATTTTTCCCAGAACTTTTTGCTTGGCGTCTTTAGAAGTTAAAATCCTTTCTATGTGACTGACTATCAATGGAAACTTGAGATACAATTTTAATAACGCTAGCAAAAAACAATTCGAATATGTTGCTTTCCATGGTTTGACTTTCGGTGTGCTGAAATAGTGTCCCTTGAGGCTAGGACATTGCTGGCCGGTTGTAATGTCAAAAACATTCTTTTCTAACAGGGCGTCAGGAAAAATAAGTCCTTGTTATCGATCCAGCAACATCTGGGCTCTCGTCAAGATTTTGTTTCGGTTCTAAAACAGTTGCAGAGGTCGTCCAGTCGGTCCTCAATCAAACGCAGGACTCACCAGGCTCCTGCTTTCCTATCAAACATCTATCATCCTTATCTCTCCACAATCTCTCCTCTGTATGTTACTTTCTAATATCACTTCTACTCTTCGGCATTTCTATGACAAAGTTGTGTTACAAATGCCGCAAAACTGACTAAACCGAAAGATGCTATGTTTATCAATCCTTATCTCTCCTCATTCTCTTCTCTTTAGTAACACTTCTACTCTTCGGCATTTCTATGACAAAGCTGTGT